GATCCGGTGGCTGCTCGCCCCCGAGAGTACTCGCCGTCGTCGTGTCAGTTGTCTCCACTCCGACCGTGGGGGTGAGTTTCGCTCCGGCGTTCTCACCAGATTCTGTGCTGAGCAGGGCATCACCCAGTCCTGGACTCTTCCAGACTCTCCACAGCAGAATGGGGTTGCTGAGCGCCGCTTAGGCCTGGTCATGGAGATTGCCCGCACCTCTATGATCCACGCCCGCGCGCCCCATTTTCTGTGGCCCTACGCGGCTCGGTACGCCGCTCACCAGCTGAACCTCTGGCCTCGCGTCTCTCGGCCAGGGGCTTCACTGACCAGTCTTTGGACAGGGTCCCCTGGTGTTGCGTCGAGGTTTAGTGTCTGGGGCTGCTTGGCTCTTGTTCGCGACATCTCTGCAGACAAGATCTCGCCTCGCGCCGTCCCCTGTGTCTTCCTTGGTTTCCCAGAGGACTCCTCTGACTTCACCTTTTACCACCCTCCTTCCCACCGGTTCTTTGACTCTCGTGACGCCCGTTTCGATGAGTCCGTCCCCTACTACGTCCGGTACCCCTGTCGAGGTCTCCCGGTCCCCCCCCCCCTCCCCTCTTCATGGCTCCAGCTCCTCCTCCCGCACCTGCTCCTCCGGTACCCCCCCCTGTTCCCGCTCCGTCTGGTGTGTCCCACGCTACTCCCCCCCCCCCCTCGGTACCCCCCAAGGTCTCTCCTCCTTCCCCACAGTCGTCCTCACAGCCTCCGCAGCAGCCGTCAGCGCTTCCTTCACCGGCCACTGCGGACTCTGAGGGTGTTGGTGCTCGAGGTGAGGGCTCTGGCGGTGCTCGCTCTGGGGGTGCTGGCGGTGGAGCTGTTCGTGCACCTACAGGAGCCGCCCGTTCTGGGGGTGTTGGCGTTGGCGCTGAGCGTGCACCTGCCGCAGCTGCCCGTTCCGAGGGTGCTGGAGCTGGTAGTGGTGCTGGAGCTGGTGGTGTTTCTGGAGCTGGAGAGTCTGGGGCTGGTGCTGGTGCCACTAGAGGCACCACGACTGGGGGTGCGGGTACACCTCCTACTGGTGCTGGTCGTGCTGCCGCAGGAGGTACTCCCTCTGGGGGTGCTCAGCCGGGTACTGTCGAGGGCGGAGCCGGTTCTTCTTCTTCTTCTTCGTCTCTTGACACCATTCCTCCTCCTCACTCCTACCCGACTCGACACCAGGCCCGTCTTCGTCTTGCGCGTGAGGAGCAGCAGCGTTTGGAGCGTGAGAGGTTGGAGGTTCAGCAGTGGGTGGAGCGTGAGATGTTGGAGTTGCAGCGGAAGCAGCAGCAGCAGCAGCCGCAGCAGCAGCAGCCGCAGCAGCTGGAGCAGCCTCCGGCCCCTGTTACTGACCTTCGGGCCCTTGGTCTCTCCTCCTCTCCTCCTGTGTTCGGTCCTACGTTTCCTCCTCCGGACTCAGCTCCGGCTGTGTTCCCTCGTTCTCAGTCTCCTCCGTCTCCCTCTCCTCTCGCCCACACTTGGGCCTCTCGTCCTCCTCGTGCTCGTCCCTCGTCTCCTGTCACTGACCTCTGTACGGTGTTGTCTCGTCCTAGTCCTCCTCGTCCTCCTCCGTCTGTTCTTCCTCGTCCTCCTGAGTCATCCCTCACTGCCTCCCTGTCCACTCCAGTCACTGACTACTACCGCACGTACCGCCCCACTCTCTCTCTCATGTTCTCGCCTCTCTTGTTACAGACCCTCGTGCCTCTCCTTCCTCCGTCGCGGTCCTCACTGCCGCTCTCACTGACTTTACTGCTACGCGTCGCCTTGACTACGCCACTCGTGTTGTGGCCGCTACTCCTGTCCGTCCTCTATCCGCCGGGGGTGAGTCTGCTCTTGGCTGTGCCGTCCTAGAGGGTAGACAGTTTGAGCTACAGTTCCTGGCAGCCGCTTTGCATCATCTCTGTGCCATGCTGCTCGCTCCTGAAGGAGACCCCGACGCTCCTGACATACCTACTCCTCGCACTTACGCTGAGGCAGTGTCAGGGCCTTGGGCCTCTCAGTGGAGAGCTGTCATGGACGCAGAGATGGCCTCCTACAGGTCCACAGGCACTTACGTTGACGAGGTTCCTCCCCAGGGGCGAACATAGTTGACGGCATGTGGATCTTCAAGGTGAAGCGGCCGCCGGGATCTCCCCCAGTCTTCAAGGCACGCTACGTGGCTAGAGGGTTCAGTCAGCACGAGGGGGTTGACTTCTTTCAGACCTTCGCGCCCACCCCGAAGATGACCACTCTTCGGGTGTTACTTCACGTAGCGGCGCAGAGGGACTACGAGCTACACTCCCTCGACTTCTCCACTGCCTTCCTGCAGGGCAGCCTACACGAGGAGATCTGGCTGCATCGTCCTCCGGGCTTCACTGGCACCTTCCCGCCTGGGACCTAGTGGAGCCTCAGACGACCGGTCTACGGTCTCCGCCAGGCACCCCGTGAGTGGCACGACACTCTCTGCTCTACTCTGTCCGACCTCGGGTTTGAGCCGTCTTCCGCCGACCTGTCGATGTTTGTTCGTCGTGGGCGCACACCTTTCTTCGTTCTGGTCTACGTTGACGACTTGGTTTTTGCCACAGCCGACACAGTTGCACTGGCGTAGGTGAAGTACGAACTGCAGAAGAGACACACTTGCACTGACCTTGGGGAACTGCGCCGCTACCTTGGCCTGCAGATCTCCAAGGACAGAGCCGCTCGCACCATCACTCTGACTCAGTCACACATGGTGCAGCAGGTCCTTCAGCGGTTCGGGCTTCAGCACTCTTCTCCTACACCCACCCCTCTTGCTTTAGACCACAGACTCACTGGTCCTTTTCCTAACGAGCCGTTCGAGCCCAGTGGTCCCTGCGCAGAGCTGGTGCTGCCTCATGTACCTGATGACGTGCACTCGCTCGGACCTCGCTTTCCCTCTTAGCATCCTTTCTCGCTTTGTTGCGACTGGGAGACACCGTCCTGTTCACTGGACGGCGGCTAAGAGGGTGGCGAAGTACCTCGCCACGACATCAGACATGGGGCTTGTACTTGGAGGGACACAGCCAGTTGTACTCACCTGTCACTGCGACTCCTCGTACGCCGACGACGTTGAGACTCAGAGGTCTACGCAGGGTTACTGTTTCAGCCTGGGCTCTGGAGCTGTTTCATGGAGGTCTACTCGGTCCTCCTCTGTTGCGACTTCTACCGCAGAGGCCGAGATCTACGCTGGAGCCCTTGCTGCACAGGAGCTACGCTGGTTGGCCTTCTTGCTCACTGACCTTGGTGAGCGGCCGAGCTCTGCACCGGCCTTGTTTGCTGACAACAAGGCGATGATTCTCCTGTGTCGTGAGCCTCGACTGGAGAGCAGAGTGAAGCACATCGACGTCAGGTACTTCCGCCTTCGAGAGTTGCAGAGACGCGGACAGGCACGTCTGGACTTCGTGGCCTCCGAGGCCAACACTGCAGACATCTTCACCAAGGCTCTTCAGCCTTGTGACCACCGCCGGTTTTGTCTGCAGTTAGGCCTCGTTGAGACTGGGTCTACTAGACTGCAGTAGAGAGTTCTTGCCTCTTGTTTGTTTGTACCATATATATTAGCTTGTACACTCTTGAACTGGCCTTGTGGCCCCTTGTTTGTGCTCAGAATGTGTGGTGACGTTGTGATCCACCCTGAGCTTTGTTTTCTCTCTTGCTTGTGACTGGTCTTGTGACCTTAGGTTGCGTTTTGTTGCTTGGCATTCCCCACTTAGGCTATGGGGGTGTGTCAAATGTTATAGCCTCTAGTGAGTTATGCTATATGGGGTACAAACAGTTAGGGTTAGGTATTTGTACCCCAACCAAATCAATCCAACTTATTCCGCTGTTTTCAGTTTATGAGAGATGTCACCCTGGCACCCTGATACTTAAGGGTGTGCTAAAACAAAAAATTGCCCCTGCTGTGCACTCTACACCCTTAGCATGACGCTTTGGCAAACTTCTAAAATGCACCCTATCACAATCAGTATGCGAAGAATTTTACCCTTGTGTGGACAGGGTGGAAGAAAAACCATCCTGCAGTCAGGATGATGTCACCCTGGCACCCTGATACTTAAGGGTGTGCTAAAACCAAAAATAGCCCCTGATTGAGACATGTGCGAGTGAATGCAGCCTGCAGTGGCAGCTGGTACGAAGGGGGTCCCCTGGTTGCCCTTATATGAAGAGCAAACAACTCTTTTGATTGGCCCCAATGAAGTAAGTTACGTGCGAGTTGATGTAGTAGTCTAGCTGGTGGGAGATGGGAAGTGGAGGGGGAGAAGCGAGGGCAGAGAGGGGGTGGGGGGGTGGGGGAGTGGAGGGGGTGCAGTAGGTAGGGGAGGAGAAGCGAACAATGGGTGGGAACTGGGGAATGGGGAGAAAATCAAACAAAAGCATGGCATGTGCAAGTCAACGTGGTTGTTTGACCGGTGGAGGAGTGTGCTATGGAGGAGGGAGGGGAGGAGGGAAGAGGGCAGCTGAGACATGAAAGACACGAGCGAGAAGAGGGGAGTGAGGACAGCTGGTAGGGAAGGCCTAACACTGCGTCTGTGTTAGGCCTGGTAGGGAAGGCCTAACACTGCGTCTGTGTTAGGCCTGGTAGGGAAGGCCTAACACTGCCCTTCGATGCTCCCTCACGTCTCTGTAAACGAATGTCATACGGTACGTATGTAGAGAGAAAATACAGTTTATCGGTTTCAACCATAAACTCACAAGTCACAATTAATGGATGCAGTACATCGTCCCACCTACACTGATGCTCAAACACCGACCCTTTACCCCACCACCCCACCACCCGTTAACCCCCATGCACATTCACCTGAAGCCCCTTCTCCGCTGCAGCAATACGAAGCAGAGCTGTGCCCTTTTTAGCGCATGTGTCGAGTCAGTAGGGTAAGTCCTCTAGCCATGGCTGGCAGAAGGGTGCACTGGCTCTTGATGTTTGACAGGTGGAGCAGGTGGGAGCCATGCACCCCAATCCTTTCCCACGGAAGGAGAGCACCAACTCCGAGTGGACTGGCCTTTCAACGGGGCCGTCCAACACCATGCATCCCAGCACCATGCATCCCAGCAGCATGCCGCCCGGCACCATGCATCCTGGCACCATGCATCCCCAGCACCATACATCCCAGCATCATGCATCCCAGCATCATGCATCCCGGCAGCATACCGCCCGGCCCGGCAGCATGCAGCCCGGCAGCATGCATCCTGGCACCATGCATCCCCAGCACCACACATCCCAGCACCATGCATCCCAACAGCATGCCGCCCAGCAGCATGCCGCCCGGCAGCATGCATCCCGGCAGCATGCATCCCAGCACCATGCATCCCAGCACCATGCCGCCCGGCAGCATGCCGTCCGGCACCATGCATCCCAGCACCATACCATGCATCCCAGCACCATGCATCCTAGCAGCTTGCAGCCCGGCACCATGTATCACAGCACCATGCCGCCCAGCACCATGCCGCCCGGCACCATGCCGCCCAGTTGCTTCCCAATGAAGGCATCGACTCAGCATGAACCGGCCCGTCACCACCCCTGACTATGCAGCCCCCGACAAAGCGGCCTGGCACTATGCTGACTGGCACCATGCAGGCCAAATGTTTCCCAATGAGGGCATCAGCTCGGCATGACCAGCCTGTCAACGATTTCAGGCCAGATAAAGCCTGCAAACATTCCTACCAGCATCATTGCCATCAAAATGCGTGCTAGTGGTCTCGTGGTAGAATAGCATCCTGCCATGAGCCCAGTGCAGACTGGGGTTCGATTCCCGGCTGGCACAATCTTTTGCTGCTAGTGATTTTTTTTTTTTAACTTAAGAACTGCTGAACTTTCCCCGTACCCTTCTCCATTTCTGTCACGTGTTTCACCTTGCCCCCATCCTCTTAACCAGCGGTGACCATCTCCTCTCCCCACCAGCCCATATACTCGTAATCACCCGGACATACCACCCTAGGGTGCTATGATAACTACATAAAAAAAAGGGGGGGGGGTCTTGTCATAGGAAAAAGCTACATAATACCCGGGTCTTTTTATAATGTACATTTTTTTTAAAGCAGAAACGGTTGGGAACAAAATGTACATGCTTGCTGCGGTGGTAGATTGTTGGTTGGGTGCGCAAAACCGAGGATGGGGCGATCACGTTAGGGCGTGTGCACTTTGGGCGAAATTTGTCAAAGTTCGAACATTCACCGCTTTGCACCGAGTAGAACCTCGCTAAAAGTTCGAACTTCAACAGAAATTCGAACCCCTAGTGCACACGCCCTTAGCCTCGAGTGGAAGCTGCCACATTGCAAGCTCCAACAGGCCCTCTGTCATGCCCTGATTGGTCGAAAACACACCCCCCGTCGCTCGACGAGGATTCATGCAGTCACAGAGGTGGGAGTCCCGCAACAGGCTTCGCAGCCTCACTGGTGCGGTCACGTCCCTGCGCGAAGTTTCGGCGAAAACAGCATTTTTTTCCGTTCATAACACCCCCCCCCCCCCCCCCGGGTCTTATACCGGATCGGCCCAAAAGGGGGGTATAGTAGAAACGAGGTCCGCTATAGCACCCACCCCGCACAAGCCACCCGGGGGGTGTTCAATTTCGGCGGGTGGTATGTCCGGGTGATTACGGTACCAGAGCTGTTTCAAGTCAACCTTCCCTCGCACACCCTCATCATCCTCGTCTTCCACTTACGCACAAGAGTGAAAACTCACCATTGGGATGCAGCCAATGGTGCAGGCTTCCCCTCTCCGCCAGCTCATACACCAGACTCGCCCGGTCGCCCTCCATGCAGTACCCCAGCAGCGCACTAGGTTTAGGGTGGTTGGGGTGGTTCACATCGCCCAACACTAGAATCTCCGTTCCTGTGGTGGGAGGACGGGGAGAGGAATGGGAACGTGCAGTGCGGGACGGGAAGGAAGGGGAATGGGAGGGTGCGAGAGAGGAGCACAGCAACGCAGTCTTCCATGAGTACCCAAGAAGACCACCAGGTTGGGATGGCTCAGATCGCCAAAGACAAAGATCTCCGCCTGTGGGGTGAAAGGTGCACAATGAGGGGACGAGAGAACGAGAGATGCGTGATGAGAGAAAGGGGAAAGGGTGGGGATGCGAGAGAGAGGAGCGCAGCAGTGTTGTCATCAATGCAGTAACCCAACAGCCGCACCAGGTTGGTGTGGCTCAGATCGCCCAACACTAGGATCTCCGCCTGTGAGACAGTACATGCACAGTGTGTAGGGGAAAAGGAGCGAGGAGGCCGGGGGTGCCACGCTTACCAGAAGTGAAGATACCAATTGTACACTCAATAAAAGGTTGAAAGTAATAGGAAACGTTAAGACATCTCAGAAATCGAAACTCCCTTTATAATCACTATGAGACAAAATTCAAGAAACTTGTCAAACGCCTTAAAACGCAGCTGCATGATATTTGGGCACAAGATGAGGGACTAAGTCTGCAGATTGCTTCAACCTTGTGCTCCCTTTTCCTCAAACCCCTTCTTCCATCCCTCTCCACCCCTCTCCCCCTTTCCTTCCCTGCCAAACCCACTAATTTCCTTTACGCTCTCTGTGTGAAGCATCTTCAATGCACCCACTTCCGTTCCCTCAAGCACATCCCTTCCCCCCTTCCCCATTCTTACGCCCCACCCCTCTCCTTCCTCCACCCCCCCTCCCCTGGTCATTTTAGCTCTCTTGCCTCACTCCCTTCTTAATCACTCACTACGCTCTCGCCTCTCACCAGGCAGTCAACAAACACCTTCACACATCGCCCCACACCCATCCCTTCCTTGTTGCACTCCTACCTACTCACTCATTACGCTCTCGCCTCTCACCAGTCAACTCAATCAACGGCCTCGCCTCTCACCAGTCAACTCAATCAAGGGCCTCGCCTCTCACCAGTCAACTCAATCAACGGCCTCGCCTCTCACCAGTCAACTCAATCAACGGCCTCGCCTCTCACCAGTCAACTCAATCAATGGCCTCGCCTCTCACCAGGCTAATTTCCTTCACACTGTCTGTGTGAAGAATCTTCAGTGCCCCCTCCTCCGTTCCCACAAGCCCATTCTTTTCCCTCTTCAGTAGTGAGAAGCACGTTTACCGCCACGCAATCCCCCACGCCCATCCCTCACTTGCCCCACTCCTCCCTATTCACCCATTACGCCCTCGCCTTGAAGCTGTCGGTATGAAGCACCTTCAGCGCCCCCTCTCCCAAGCCCATCCACTCCCCTATTCCTCAACCTTTCCCCTCTTTTAGCTCAATCTCCCCACTCCCCCCTACTCATTCCTTCCGTTCACTCTCGACTCACCAGGCAGTCATCAAACGCCTTCATGCTTTCCGTGTGAAGCACCTTCACAGCCACCTCTCTCCTGCTGCCACGTACCAGCTCTCCCAACCCAGCCACTCGTCCACCTGTCTGCAAAAAAACGGTTCCGAAGCTGCCCTTGCCCAGCTGCAGAGACACGTTGAAGTACCCCGCCGTGCCACCTGCTGCAGCTTGCGGTACGAGAAGCGACACAAAGGAGGAGGAGGGCCCTTGCCCAGCTGCAGAGAGGCACGTGAAGAGAGGGAGAGAGGGAGAGGACACTAAGTCCCTTGCATTGCCCAGCTGCACTGGACGCATCATAGTACCCCGCCGCCTGCTGCAGCTCGTGGTAGGAGAATCGGCACAGAGGAGGCGGGCTAGAGGAGGGCCCTTGCCCAGCTGCAGAGAGGTTAAGGGGGTAGGCACGTGAAGAGAGGGAGAGAAGGAGGGGGGGGGGGGGGGGGGGGGGGGGGGGGGGGGGGACAGTATGTACCTTGTGAGTATGTACCCATGTCGTGTGAACAGCTCTCCCAGCCACTCGTCCACCTGCTCGCGGAAAACGGTTCTGAAGCTACCCCTGACGCTTCTCAAGGGCGGGCAAAGGCGCAACAGAGGGAGCCATCATGGCAGGAGTAACAAGCACCATGCATTGCAACTGTTGTTTTGAGACGTCTCAAAGCACTGTTGCGGTCTCGACACATCTCGCCAATAAGCAACACCAATCTCACCCTAACCACCACATCAAACTCCTCGCCCTCACATTCCCCCCCCCCCCCCCCCCCCCCCCCCCCCCCGCCTCCGTCCCATCAATGTGAAACACCATGGATGGGATGGAACCTGCTGAGACGCACAAGAATTCCTCTTGCCACACTGCCACGCTGCACTCCTTGTGTGCCCGCACTGCCTCCGCACCGTTGCAAGCAGGTTCAAGCACGTGTTACCAGGTAGATCCACCAGAAAGTACACCAGGTCGTACCCCTTGCCCTCGCACGCTCGCACACGCACTGTGTGCCTTTGCCTCTGTTCCAAGAAGCGTAATCAAACTTGTGCGAACTGGCTTTAACGAGGAGGTGTGAAGCACAAGCCACAAGCCACAAGCCATAGGCCATAATCACCATGAACACCGCGTTATGCTCCTTGCCCTTGCACGCTCGCACTGCCCCCGCCCACCCGTGGCATCGCTAACGACCCAGAGGTAGAGCGCTTCTCATGGTGAACATCAGCTTTACCGCACTGTACTCCGCTGTTGGACACGCCAGCACCTGCCGTCACCAACCTCTGTTCCTCCACTCCCTCCGACTTCTCTCCTCCTCAACTCTTTTCCTCCTCCTCTCTTCCTTCACCTCCTACTGCTTCCTCTTCGCTGTTTCTCTGTTCCTTCTGCTTCCCTATGGCCTGCCCCTCACAAAACCCTCGACTCTATTGCCTTTCTCGGTCTCTCTAAGATCGGAGCAAGTTCTCACCAAATGCAACTCCTCGACTGCGTATCCCAATCTCTTGCTCTTGCAGCTAGCACAAGACAGGTGCTGTTGGCGCAAGGCGAGGGGGGAAGTGAGTGGGCGGAGAGTGGGTGGGGGGAAGGGCAAAGAGTAGGAACGGACGGCCGCACGAGGAGGGGGAGTGGAAAAAGAGCTGATGATTTTGCACTTGGAGAAGTACCACTCACACTCATATTTCCAACAGCAAAGTCGCGTCAAAGGCAACGTACTGGGAGCAAAGGACAGACGGACGGCCAGCAAGATGGATGAATGAAGTACGAGCGATAGCGTGGACAAGTGATTCAGATTCCTGCACCTATTTGGCTTCTCTCATCTCCGTTTTGGCACGTTGCCGTTGCCCTGCCTGCATTCAGCTAGAAAACCATTCGCACTCATGGCATGGGAAGATGCCATGTGATGATGCCATGTGAAGATGCCATGTGATGATGCCATGTGATGATGCCATGTGATGATGCCATATGACGATGCCATGTGATGATGCCATGTGATGATGCCATGTGCGTGCACCTCTTCAATTTTTTAGTATGCAACCTAAAGCCCTTTGCGTTCAGCATATGAGCAGCGTGCAGCTAATGCCCTCTTACACGTAAGTCATATCACGTCTGCTGCTTCGCTCGTCACCCTCCATTCCTCCCTGCCCGTCTGCACACCTGTTGGACAGCATGGGTCAAGCAAGCAAGAAAAGGCACCAAGGGTATGTGAGTGAAGCGAGCAAAACCAGGCAGTGAAAAGAGCAACAGAGGCAGCGAACCGAGCAAAAAGGGGCACAAGGGTATGCGGGTGAAGCTAGCAAAAGAGGCACAAGGGTGTGTGAGTGAAGATAGAAAAATCAGGCACAAGGGTATGTGAGTGAAGATAGAAAAATCAGGCACAAGGGTATGTGAGTGAAGATAGAAAAATCAGGCACAAGGGTATGTGAGTGAAGATCGGAAAATCATGCGGAGATAACTACTACAACGGGAGCTAGACTACGGGCTAGGCACGGGTGCTCGTGTGATCTCTGCGTTCGTTGGTCCTTAGTCGGATTCCTAGTGCACACACAGCTTGCTAGTTCACAGGGAGAATTGGCAAGAGTTTCACTAAAGAAAGCTGACAACAATGGTACAATGAAGTTGGCAAGGTAAGACTACATCAGAGCTAGCATGCAAGCAGGACGACTGCCAGTGCAGCACGGTCGACCGTGTGCCAGCACGACTTGGTCGACCGCGCTCCAGCAGTGCAGAGTCGCGGCTTGCCACCGCTGCAAGTCGACGGCGTGACAACAGCGCAAGTCGACGGCGTGCCAGCGTTGCTCCCGCAGTACAGCATCGCACCCGCTTCGCAGGTGCTCGCAGATGATTGGTGTGCAGTGCCTCGTCACCTGCACAGCGCACACACCAAGTCCACTTCGTGCTGACGACAGCTGCTGATCAGCCACGTCGACCTCGGGATACCACCACCGAGGTCGTCCTCGCCAAAATCACCTGGGCGAACGTCGCATGCCTCCGCAGAACCTCGTCACCCAGGTAACCTGGTCGACCGAGCAACCAGGTCGACCAGATGCTCCTGTGCGTGCCCGTCGACCACGCAGGTCGACGACCACTTCCAATCGACCTCACCAGGTCGACCACTGCCTCTGGTATGTGCCGGTCGACCTCCCAAGTCGACGGCCACCTCCAGTCGACCTCCACAGGTCGACCACTACCCCCTGGTCGACCAGCTCCAAGTCGACGTCACTCCAGGTCGACCAGAAGGTCTGGTCGACTTCCCAAGTCGACCAGAAGGGCTGGTCGACTTACCAGGTCGACCAGAAGGACTGGTCGACTTCCCAGGTCGACCAGAAGGGCTGGTCGACTTCCCAGGTCGACCAGAAGGGCTGGTCGACTTACCAGGTCGACCAGAAGGTCTGGTCGACTTCCCAGGTCGACCAGAAGGGCTGGTCGACTTACTAGGTCGACCAGAAGGTCTGGTCGACTTCCCAGGTCGACCAGAAGGGCTGGTCGACTTACCAGGTCGACCAGAAGGTCTGGTCGACTTCCCAGGTCGACCAGAAGGGCTGGTCGACTTACCAGGTCGACCAGAAGGTCTGGTCGACTTCCCAGGTCCACCAGAAGGGCTGGTCGACTTCCCAGGTCGACCAGAAGGTCTGGTCGACTTCCCAGGTCGACCAGAAGGGCTGGTCGACTTACCAGGTCGACCAGAAGGTCTGGTCGACTTCCCAGGTCTACCAGAAGGGCTGGTCGACTTACCAGGTCGACCAGAAGGTCTGGTCGACTTCCCAGGTCGACCAGAAGGGCTGGTCGACTTACTTGGTCGACCAGAAGGTCTGGTCGACTTCCCAGGTCGACCAGAAGGGCTGGTCGACTTACCAGGTCGACCAGAAGGTCTGGTCGACTTCACAGGTCGACCAGAAGGGCTGGTCGACTTACCAGGTCGACCAGAAGGTCTGGTCGACTTCCCAGGTCGACCAGAAGGGCTGGTCGACTTACCAGGTCGACCAGAAGGTCTGGTCGACTTCCCAGGTCGACCAGAAGGGCTGGTCGACTTCCCAGGTCGACCAAAAGGTTTGGTCGACTTCCCAGGTCGACCAGAAGGGCTGGTCGACTACCAGGTCGACCAGAAGGGCTGGTCGACTTACCAGGTCGACCTGAAGGTTTGGTCGACTTCCCAGGTCGACCAGAAGGGCTGGTCGGCTTACCAGGTCGACCAGAAGGTCTGGTCGACTTCCCAGGTCGACCAGAAGGGCTGGTCGACTTACCAGGTCGACCAGAAGGTCTGGTCGACTTCCCAGGTCGACCAGAAGGGCTGGTCGACTTACCAGGTCGACCAGAAGGTCTGGTCGACTTCCCAGGTCGACTAGAAGGGCTGGTCGACTTCCCAGGTCGACCAGAAGGTCTGGTCGACTTCCCAAGTCAACCAGAAGGGCTGGTCGACTTACCAGGTCGACCAGAAGGTCTGGTCGACTTTCCAGGTCGACCAGAAGGGCTGGTCGACTTCCCAGGTCGACCAGAAGGTTTGGTCGACTTCCCAGGTCGACCAGAAGGGCTGGTCGACTTACCAGGTCGACCAGAAGGTCTGGTCGACTTCCCAGGTCGACCAGAAGGGCTGGTCGACTTCCCAGGTCGACCACCCGAAGTTGGCGCCCTCCCGAAGTCGGCGCCCATGCAGTGGCTCCCCGTGCAGGTCGACCAAGCTCGTCGACCAACTCGCCCACTGCTGTAGGTCGGCTGCACCCTATACCCGACCACGAAGTCGGCACCGCCCAAGCGAGGACGGGGCCAATATACAACTCCCGTTGACAAATCAGGCATAAGGGTATGTGAGTGAAGATAGAAAAATCAGGCACAAGGGTATGTGAGTGAAGATAGAAAAATCAGGCACAAGGGTATGTGAGTGAAGATAGAAAAATCAGACACAAGGGTATGTGAGTGAAGATGGGAAAATCAGGCACAAGGGTATGTGAGTGAAGCTAGAAAAATCAGGCACAAGGGTCCGCGCATGAAGCAAGCACCGTGGGCCACAACGGCTGTGGGTCAATCAAGCAAGAGTCAGAGCGCACGGTGAGTGTGGATCGGACAACTTACCTTCGGATCATCAGTCTGACGCTCTCCCAACTGAGCTACACCCAAAAAACCGTGGAGATGCGGGGTATCGATCCCCGTACCTCTTGCATGCTAAGCGAGCGCTCTACCATCTGAGCTACATCCCCGTTGAAAACTTATTAGGGCCCTTTACCGGGCTACATACCCGCCATCCCCACTCCCCTCTACGAAACTCGTTTTCTTCACTTCCCTCCTCTTCTCTCTCCCTTCATTCCTTCTGCAACCTCCCCATTTCCTCCGCCTTCTATCTCACCTCAGCTGCAGCAGCTGGCTGCTGATTTCGCCTGGTGGCAGTGCCCCTCTCCACTCCTCTCCCCTCTATCAAGATCCTTCTTCATAGAATCCGCCCCTTCACCCTCTTCCTCCTCTCCTCTCTCCTTACCTTCCCCTCCCCAGCTCGCTCTCTCCTCCGCCTCTCTCCTCTCTCCATCTGCCGCAGCTGGTTGCTGACCGTGTCTTGGCATCGTGCTCCTTCTCACACTTTCCCTCCGCCTCTTATTTCTCCCCTCAACTGCGCAGCAGCAGACTGCTCCGCCCATATTCCTCCGCCTCTTAGTTCTCCCCTCGGCTGCTCCGCAGCAGACTACTCCGCCCATATTCCTCCGCCTCTTATTTCTCCCCTTAACTGCCCAGCAGCAGACTACTCCGCCCGTATTCATCCGCCTCTTATTTCTCCCCTCTGCGGCGCAGCAGCAGAATCCTCCGCCTCTTATTTCTCCCCTCGTTTGTTCTGCTTTTGTCTCCATCCCCCCTTATAGCGCCCATTCTTACCACTCCCTCTCTTCCTCGCCATTATTGCCCTCTCTCTCCTGCTGCTGTCCCTCATCCCTTGCCCCTCCTTCCCCTACTCTACGCGTCATCCGCTCTTTTTTCTCCCACTTGGACCGCCTCACCTTCCTTCTGTCGCTGGACCTCTCCTCTTGTCTTGCTTCTCCAGTCTCACCAGCGTCGCCAGTGCCCTGCCCCGCCATCGCTTTCTGTCGTGACTCCTGGTGCTCATGCTTTTCCCTCTGCTCTCAGTGTGACCATGCCTTCTTCTGCTAGCATTCTTGGTGCCTTTCCTCTCATGGACCCTCAATTTGCCGTGCCATTTCTTCCTTCTGCTCCTAGCGTTGTCTCTCCCACACCCTGCTTTACGGTTGCTGCTCTCTCTCTCCCTCGCACCTTGGACTTTGTCCTCGACAGTGGTGCTAGTGACTCTGTTTTTCGTGATGCCGGTGTTCGTCGTTCCTTTCCCCGCCCTCTCTTCATTCATGTAGCTGGAGATACCATGACCCTGACATGCACCGGCACCTCCTCTCTTCCCTCTCCCGCCTCCCCCTCTGGCGCAGTCACTGGCCTCTATGTTCCCTCTTGTCGTCATAACCTTCTCTCCCTCTCCGCCCTCCAATCCCTTGGTGTGCGAGCAAGTTTCCCCGCAGGTGAACTCTACTGTGACCTTCATTACCAAAGGCGCCGACGCCAACCTTGCTGACATTTTCACCACGGCCCTCCTTCGTGGGCCGCACCGTTTTTACGTCCGCGCGCTTGGTCTCACTCGTCTCGCCACTTCTGGGGGTGTTCCGGTTCGCTAGGTTTTCTGTTCCAGAGCTTCACCTAGCCTGGGGGTGTGTTGGAGTAGGCTAGTGTTCGCTCTGCAGTTTATTTTGGCCTTATATTATTTTTCGGCCACTTTTAGGCTCAGTTTCATTTCTGGTTCATCTTAAGTTCACTTCGCAGTTTGTCTCTGCTGCATTGAACATGCCTAGGTCCAGTTGGGGTTTCCTAACCCTGGCTTTCAAATCTCTCTCGACAACTTTTCTCTCGCTGCTCAACTTCCTGGCCATGGCTGCCCTGCCACAAACCTAATATTAACATAGTTTTGTACGCTGTACAGATACAAGAGGATGTTATGCTAATTAGTGTAACTTAATGTTTTCCATACGTGCCTTCAATCTACAGATTTGCGAGTGACTATCCTGGCAAATGCAGTAGCTACAGAAACTCATTTTCCGTGGCTGACTCGCAGGTGCTGTTTCTAAAAAACGGACTCTCCTTAAGCTTCTCTCCTAACCTCCCCCTCCCCCTCCCTCTCCCCCCACCAAACCCCCTCCCTCCTGCACCCCCTCTCCCTCCTCCCTCCTCGCGCCCCCCAGCAGTCGCCACCATCCGTGCCCGTCCCCCCCACACAGGCAGCCCACCTCCCCCACTTGCACCTGCACCCGTGCCACCTTGGCTGCCCGACTCAGCTGCTCGCTCAGCAGTGGAAACAGAAGCTCCAGGATCCGCTCCCACCCCTCTGTACACGTTATACACTGATGCATTACTGGCAGTAGACTCGCGAAGACTACTCTGCATCCCCTCCCGGGTGCTGTCTCCATTCATTAGCCTCTCTCCCCCGTGCCCCCTCCCACCTTCTCGCTCGACCGTGCCTAAGTGCTCTTTCTTCCTCTCCTCCTCCCTCCTCTCCTCCCTCCTCTCCTCCTCCCTCCTCTCCTCCTCCCTTCTCTCCTCCTCCCTCCTCTCCTCCTCCCTTCTCTCCGGCTCCCACCGCTCCTCCGAATCGCGCACGCACCGCAGCTTCACGGTGCGCAGGGCCTCGGGACTCACGCCATAGCTCAGCCGCAGGGGCGCCTGCGGCCGGATCAACCGACCCACCTCCGGTAGCACCTCCTGCTGCCCCCGCCCCCCTCGCCCGCCCCTCCGCACCCCCCTCCCTCTGCCGCGTGCCATCATGATTATCCTCCCCCTCCCCTCCGCCCTGCGCGCTGCTGACAGCACTCTTCCCACACCCCCTTCTGCCGTCTCCTGTGAATCAGACTCTTCAAACTCATCCCCACCCTCAGCCACACCCTCATCCCCGTTACCATCCCAATCCCCATCCTCCTCCTCCCCCTCCTCTTCCTCCTTCCCCCCATGCTCGTCAACCTCCTGGCTGCTGCCACTAGGAGCCCGTCTGCTCAGAAACCCCCTCTCTTCGTTCCACCGACCCACTCCGCTGCTCTCCCTCCCTCCCTGCATGCCTCCCTTGCCCCACACGCCTGCTGTGCTCACAGAGGGTGACTGTAGCGAGGGTGACGGCCGCCCAGGCCTGCTGATGGACGGCGAGAGTGACACTAACGGGGAGTTGGTAACTTCAATTGAAGGAAGCGAACTACCAGAGGGGAGGAACGGAGAGGGGGAGGGAGAGGCGGAAAGGGAGGGCGAGGAAGGGGAGGAGGGGGAGGAGGGGGAGGAGGGAGAAGGGATGGATGTCTGTTCCTTGGAGCCAGAGAGTGACAGTAATGGGGAGTTTGTGGCCTCAACGGTTGACAGTAACGGGGAGTTGGAGACTTCAATGGAAGGCAGCGAACTACCAGAGGGGAGGAACGGAGAGGCGGAGGGGGAGGGGCAAAGGAGGGGTGAGGAAGGGGAGGAGGGGGAGGAGGGCTGGGAAGGGTGGGAGGTAGAAGGGATGGATGTTTGTCCCTTGGAGTCAGAAACAGAGGCAGACACCTGGATGTCGTAGCTCGTCCAAGAGCCACTAGGATTCTGACACGTGGCAGCAAAGGCTGCTCCTGACGCCACCCCACTCAGACCACCACTATTCTGCCACGTCCCCTCCTTCCCTGCTTCACCAGACCAACAGCTCCCCGAACTGAAGCCTTTCGAGCCAGAATCGCCAGAGCGACTCGCCAAGCCTCCTGTGAGGCAGTCTTTGTGTGGGTGGATTGCGTCTTGTCCGCTGGGAGGCTGCAGAGAGTTGTGATGTTCGCTTGCTGCCTCCTCATCTGCATCCTCCTCCTTGCTCTGCTGTTCTGATGTTCTGGGCACTGCTTTTGGAACGGCTGCAACGGTCCGTGCAACGGGTGGTGTGTCAGCTTCACCATGCCTTGCACCTGCCCTGCCATGCGTCACACCCGGCCCTTTCCCAAGCACACCAGAAGCAGGTGATCGGCCAACCAAGGCCGACACTCTCGCTGCTGCACCCATGTCCCTTACAACCACAGCAGCGGCAGGTGCGGACTCAGCAGCAGCAGCAGCAGCAGCAGCAGCAGCAGCAGCAGGCGCATTAGTAAAACCGGCTGCGGCAGCAATAGCAGCAGCAGCAGCAGCAGCAGCACTTGCGGCATTCCCACTCTCTATCCCTGCCCCATACCTGTCAAACACACTCCTGCCCGCCTTGCCCATCATCCCACCCCCAATGGGCGAGGGCGAAGTGGCACTGTTGTCATCTGCCTCATCGCCCCACACTGGCATTCTCCTCAGAGGACTCTCGTCCCTCTCCTCCTCGCCTCTCTTCTCCTCCCCTCTCTCCCCACCCCCCTCCTCTTTCTTCTCCTCTTCCTCTTCCGTTTTGCCCTCTCTCCCCCAGTGCCTCACTCCCCCACCTCCTCCCCCACTCCACTCGCCCTTCCCTTTCTTCCCCTCCACCTTCCCCTCGGTTTCCAGTGCTCGGCTCGTCTCCATTATCCGCCTTTCAATTTCATTCCTAACAGCACTCAAGCCCCCTCCCTCTGATGCAGACAGCGAGGCAGAGAGGGCGGACGGGGAGAGCAGCGAGGTGGAGAGAGGGGAGAGTGACTGTATGGGGGTGGGCTCTACCGAGGTCGTGAAGGACGAGGAGAACGAGTCTGAGAGCGAGTCTGCTGGGCCGTAGCGATGGGGTGGGTGTGAAGGAGCAGCACCATTCGAGTTTGCAGCAGCATTTGAGTTTGCAGCAGCAGATGACTCTTTATCACTAGAAACACCTGCCGCAGCAGCAGCACAAGCAGCAGCAGACGAACCCCCCCTGTGTGAACCCCTACCATGTGACGACCCCTTGCCGATTGAATATGCCCTTCCACCCACCACGTCATCACCACAAGAACCACCCTCCGACCCTGAAAAGGACCCTGCCTGCCCGTTAACCTGCCCGTTCAGCTGCCCGCTGGAGCCCGACGCAGCGCGGGCATCTGAGTGGGCACCTGAGAAAGCACCTGAGTGCGCCCGGGAGCGAGACCTGGACTTGGTCCACGATCGCAGGCGCAGGCCCGACCTGGACGGGCCGTGAGAGTAGGAGTTGGACTGAGAGGGAGACGGGGTGACTGACAACGTGGACTCGGATATTGGGGTTGTTTCTGAGATTGTCTCAATGTCCATGCGGTCTTCGTCTGCTATAGCCCGCTTAGCCTGATCTGGATGGGTGACGTCCTGGTTTATGTGGTTTGACTCGTGATTCGGTTGGCTTGAGTCATTTCGGAGGCTATAGTTTTGATTTTGACGGTTTGAGTACGGTGCTGCTTTGCTCGCCTCCCACCTCATGTCCGCACCTCCAGCTGCTCCCATCTCCATCCCCTTCTCTCCACCCCTCTCCCCTCCCCTCTCCATCCCTCTCCTTGCTTCCCACTCCGTCCCTCTCTCTCCTCCCTCACCCGCTCCCAGCCCAACAAACGTCCCCCCAGCATGCATCACTGCATGCCGCACCACCACTGGCGCCCTTGCCTGTGCTGCTGCCTCCCTCCCATATCCACCTGCCATTTCTCCTGCTGCTATGCCTCCTTTCCCTGCTGCCTCTCTCCCATATCGACTTGCCATGTCGGCTGCTGCCAGGCCACTCCTCCCTGCTGCTGCTGCACCGCCTGGCTTGGCTCTTTCGGCTGCTGCTGCTGCTTTTGCTGTTGCAGGTACCTTTGCTACTGCAACTGCCACCTTCGCTGGAGCTGCTGCTACAGCCGGCGGTGTTTGCTTTGCTGCTGCTGCTGCAGCTGGTGGCGCCGGCTTCGCTGCTGCTACAGCTGCTGCCTGCTGCCGCCCTACACTCATCTCTCTCTTCGCCTGCAGCCAGTTCCTCATAAACCCTCCCCTCCCCCGTCCTCCTTCCCCTCCCATCCCTCCTCCTGTAGACACAGCCCCACCCTGCCCTGCGCCCTCATCCACCCTCCCCACCTCCCCATCTCCCCCCTGCCCACCCGCTCCCACCCCTCTTCCAAACGAGCCGCTTCGGTTGGGTGGTGGCGCCAGTGCTACTGCCTCTCGCCCCTCCTTCCGCCCTGCAGCATCCACCAGTGTCCCGTGCTCATACCCCGTCCCTGCTGCCTGCGAGCCGGATGCTGACGTGTCGCAGCTTGATTGGGGCGAGGAGAGGGAGGAGAGAGGCGCAGCGGAGGAGAGAGGGGAGAGTGAGGAGGCAGGAGTGAGGGAGGCAAGGGGGGTGATGGTGCGAGAGAGTGTGGACGGCTGCTTGTCATTGGAGAGGGTGTTAGAGAGTGCAGAAGGAGAGGTGGAGGGCGAGGAGAGGGAGGGCGGGGTAGACACGGAGGAGAGGGGTGTGAGGGTGTGAGACATGGAGCCATTGAGCTGAGACAGAGAGCCTTCCATCTGAGAGAGCGAGCCGTCCATTTGTGACAGAGACCCGTCAAGTTGTGATAGAGAACCCTCCATATCCATATTGCTCCCTCCTCCCTTCTCACTTCCCTCCTCACTTCCTTTCCTTCCTTTTTCACCTTCCCCGCCCTCCACCCTTCTCCCGTCCCCGGCAGAAGCACCCCAGAAGCTTCCCATGATGGACCCGGCAGCACCAGCCACCATGCCCCAGATCCCAGGCTGTAGCGCGGGGTCGCCCCCTGCTGCAGCAGCCATGGCTTCTACAGCCGCGTCCACTGTGAGGGCAGAGGGGGAGGAAGGGACAACAGCTGTAGCACTGGACGCCTGGGAGGAGGCCGACAGGGAGTGAGAGGAGGAGGCGGAGGCTTTCAGCTGGGGAGTAGCCACGGTAGCGACCTTGGCAGCAGCAGCAGCAGCACTGGTCTTTCCAGTTGCATGAGCCCCGCCTGCCCCGTCCACAGCAGCAGCAGCATCAGCACGAGGGGGGAACGCCCCAGGAGTCACCTCAGAAGCTTCTCTAGAAGCTTCAGTGTCTGTGCCATACGCGGCATGCCTGCTGGACCATGCGTAACCGTTCTTCACCGCTCTGGGCTGTGGGGTGTAGGGCCGGCGGGGGTCGGGAGAGGCGCTCTGCGGCGCTTCAGGGAGGGACGGCAGGCGGTGCGGCCCTCTTGGGTTGGGCGCGTGCGAGGGGGAAGGGGAGAGGGAGGGGGACGGACAGGCATCGGGACGGAAATTGGCATCAAGAAATCTGTGGCGAGCGAGGGTGTGATGGTGGTCTTGTGGAGCGATGGGGGTGTGGGAGGTGGGAGTGAGAGTGGTGGGGCTACAATCAGGGCCCACGCTGCAACTCGCCACAACAGAACGCCCTAAGTCGCCCCCTCCTGCTGCTGCTGCTGCTGCTGCTGCTGCAGCAACACCAGATTTACGACCAGCAGCCACAGCAGCAGCATTAGCAGCGTTGCCATGTGGGACAGGGCCATGTGTTTGGTCACCCTGAGGCTTCTGAACGGACTTAACACTGTCAACACGGAACCCCATACTGTCCACTCGCACGCCGCCTATCCCCGACCATGCAGCCGACCCCATTCCCTCCTCGCCCTCCCCTCCTCCCCCCTTACTTCCATTCACCCCCCTCCATTTCCCCCACTTCCCCCCTCCGCGCCCCTTCATCTCTTTGATCCACTCCGGCCCACCCCCAGAGCCCACACTAGAAGCCCAGCTCATGTTCGTTTCTGTGTCTACAACCACTTCTACCCCTCTCTCCTGCGCTTCCTCCCCCTCCTCTCCACCCCTCACTCCTCCAAGCTCCCCTTCCAAGGCTCTCGTTGTTCCCTTCTCTCTAACCTTTCTCCTCTCCTCCCTCCCGCTTCTGCTCCTGTTGCCTTCTCGTCCCCCTTCCCTCTGACCTCCCTCAACCCCCTCTCTCCTCTCCCTCTCCCTTCGCTCCTCCCTCTCCCCTCTCAAAGGACCCCCTCCCATTTCCTGCATGCGCCTGCTTCGCAAATACTCCACTCGTGCCCTCAGCCCGCCAAACGGGTCCTCCCCTCCTCCTCTCCTCCCCCCCACACCTTCCATCAGCGCAGCAGCAGCAGCAGCAGCGGCGCCAGCAGAGCGCTCACTGGAGGAGAGGGAGGAGAGGGAGGACCAGGAGTCGCTCTGCAGGGACGCAGACGCCACGCCAATGCTCGCCCCTGCTGCTGCTGCCAGGGCGCCGCTGTGGTTGCCGCACAGCACAGGCAGCGGGGAGACGCGCCGAGGAGAGAGTGGGCTTGGAGAGCCACTGCCAGCAGGACCGCCAGGAGCAGCAGAGGGCGAGGCAGGAACCGCAGCCGCCGCCGCCGCCGCCGCTCCTTCCCTCCCCCAGCTCTCTTTCTCCTGCCGCCCCTTACGGCCCCACCTGCTCGGGCTGAGCAGGTGCATCCCCCCCCTCGCCTTTGCATGTTCCGTGCGGGCCTTATCATGGGTCTGACCCCCTTTGCCAGCGCCAGTGACAGCAGCAGCAGCTGCAGTAACAATGCCAACACCCAGCGCAGCCGCTGCAGCACCTGCTCCCAGCACCGCACCCAACACGCCGGCACCGCCCCCACCTGCCGTGCCAGCTGTAGCAGGAACAGCAGCGGCAGCAGCATCACTGGCTCTTCCCCCCCTTCCCCCGCCCCCTCCCTCCCCTCCCCGCCCTTCCCCCCCCGCCCCTTCTGTAGCCCACGAGGGCGCCAGCATGGGTAGCAGCTGCATGAGCGCACGGGGGGAGTTCCGCCACTCCTCCCCCTCGTCCGTCCCATACCCCCCCGCCTCCCCACCTTCCCCCCTTCCCCCGGACTCTCCTCTCCCCCTCCCCCTAGAGGTTCCATCCCCCGTACCTGCCTGCCCTGCTGAATCCAACCGAGAGGCCCCAGACTGGTTCGGTCTAGTCTCGGAACCCATCACCCGGTTCGGAGAACCGTACTCGTTATAAGCAGGGCCATTAGAAGCTTTCCTGCCACCACTGCCACCACTACTGTTGTCAGCCCTGCTGCTGCTTTGACTGCCAGAATTGCCTCTACTGCTCCCTCTGGAGCTGCCCTTCACGGGAAAAGCCGCCTCCGGCGACCCCCCCAGGTCACCCCGCCTCTCCATATGAAACCTCGCCTCTATCCCCCCTCCCCATCCGCCCCCTTCCCCCCCTCCTCCCCCGCTCCTCCCCAACCCCCATCCTCTCCTCCACCCCGATTGGCTCGCCGAGTCACTGCCAAGATTCTGTTGAGAATCCGAATCAGATCGGGGGGAGGCGAAGCCAAAGGGGCCGAGGAAGAGGAGCACGAGGCCGTAGGTGAGCAGGGAGAGGCCGCCCAGAAAGCCCCCTGTGAGCGTCACGGACCGGTCCGAGCCACCCGCCTCACTCACTGACCCCGCACACCCCCCCTCTTCCCCCTCCCCTTCCCCCTCCCCTTCCCCCTCCTCTCCGCCCCTGCCGTTCCTCCCCCTCCCGCCACCTCCCAGCCCCTTGCTCCTCCCAAACGCACCCTCATAGTATTTCACCCCCACCCCTGTTGTATCCTTCACTAAGGCACGCAGGAAGCAGAGCAGGTGGCCCATGAAGCACACCAGCAGCAGCGCCTGCAGCCCCGCACCTGCTGCTGCAGCCGCGGAAGGGAGAATGGCGCCGGTGGCAATGGAAAGGGCGACGGAGAAGAGGCAGACGTGGGAGGCGGAGGCGAGGAGGGCGGAGAGGAGGAGGGTGGTGCTGATGAAGGGACGGGCGAGGGCGAGGTAGAGCAACTGGCAGCACGCCAGCACCAACAGCACCGTGCACTGTGCGGATGCGTCTCCTGCTGAGCTGGCAGCGTCTGCTGAGCTGGCAGCCATCCAGCTGTAGCTGGCAACAACCACAGCAAGGGAGCATCGCAGGCAGAGATCCAGAGGCACATGCGCTATGCCCAACCACCCCGATGCCCACGCCAGCCCATGCCGCAGCTTCTCCATGGCAGTGTTGCTGCCTGCTGTGCCATGGCCATATGCACTGGCTGCGTGGGCTCGAGCATACCCACGGCCATGTGTGAAAGAATCATCAACATCCCACCACTCCCCACCTCCGTGCGTTTCGTTCTTCAAGATGCCCCATCGGCCCCCATCACCACTCCCTCCTCCACCTCCCTCCCCAAGCGCAACTGGGTGCACTGCAGCTGCCCGACCAGAATAGCTGCTCTGGCCAAAAGCTGAGCCTAAAGGCGAGCCGCTGGCTCGGCCTGAACCTGAACCACTTCTTCGGCCTGAACCTGCACCAGTGGTTCGGACCACGGCTGCTCCTCCGTTCCGGGTGCCACCCCACTGAGCCTCGAACAGCAGCCCCCAGCTGCCAATGAAAGCTGGACACGTGGCAGGGTCTGTGATGTGCCACGTGCCATGGGCTGATCTGGATGAAAGGAGCTGGAGGCCAGAAAAAAAACAAGTATAGGAGGTGGAGGGAGGGAGAACTGAAGGTTGGCAACCATTGAGATGAGAGAAATCAGGGTCTTGACAGACGACGAAACGAGCAACAAGAAAGGAAAAGCACCACTAGAGAGCACTCTCCCGTACTACAATGCACACTGGCCATAAAGTACCCAGTAGACGATGGTCTTGTTCTCGAGACGTCTCAAAGAGTGGCCATACCTGATAGACCACGGCCTTGTTCTTGCAGGCTATGTTGCGGAGGAAAAAGGCAAGGAAGAAGGGGAGATTTGCCACCACCACCACCACTGCCACGAAGGGCAGGCCTGCCCAGCCTGGGGGAAGATAGAAACACAGTTCGGAGGGATGGAATTTGAGAGACTTCGATGGGTTTATTCACTTACCATAAATTTCTTCATTTTTTCGTGTCATTTTTCTGGTTTACGCTGGAACATTATATGTGACGGATTTGGTTGTTCCCAAACGCTTGCACGAGTAAGAGATAGCTTTGTGCGCTCTTCCGCACCCAAGGGCTCTTCTCCAAGTCGTTCTTGTGGCGCTTCTCCATTCCTTCCAACACCTCCAGAAGATCTTAATGGTCGAAAATGTTCTCAATTTTGAAAGACCACTCAACAAAGTTGTCGCCGTTGAACTTATCAAGGTCAAACACACACTTGGTTCATCATTAAAAGTGCAATAATTTGTTGTAAGTAAATCATGGAGGATCACAGGGTTGACTCTAACACCATTGCCATTTGTTAGAATTTTCTAATCTGACATGCTAAGCTTTTGTGACTGTACACCAAGTATGGTGTACAATTAGGTTGGAACTCAACATTGGGTGTAGCCTTGCATGTTGGGGTGCCAATCCAACCTAATTGTGGTGGAGCCCCCAAATGCAACCCAATGGGCCATAGGTTGCCTCACTTCCCAAGTGAGGTCCCAGTGGGCCATAGATTACCTCACTTCCCCAAGTGAGGTAAACCCAACCCGATGAACAATAGGTTACCTCACTCCTCAACTAAGGTCAACCTAACCCAATGAGCCACAGGTTGCCTCACTTCCCAAGTGAGGCCAACCCAACCCAATGGGCCATAAGTTGGCCTAATCTCCAAATGTTGCCTTCCCTTCCTTGTTCTTCAACATTTTTTCCCCGTTCTATGTATTAATCTTCCTTCCACTAATGAAGCTAATGGTTTACTCCATGTCTTTCTTCTCACACCACCCCTTTTCTCAGATCAATGCATAAGAATAGTTTTTTTTTTTTTTTTTTTTTTTTTTTAGCAGATTCACGGGTTCAGGGTTTAGTGAAAGGATAGTCGCAAGTGAGAAGTAACAGGGTGTGTTCAGCTTGCGCATGATCAACTAGGTCACTTCATATCTTTCAGCAGAACAGGTAAACATGTGGCATACATGCAGGCAGGCAGTGCAGGAAAAAAGAGAGCGGCAAGCAGGGCAGCAGAGCTTGTGAGGCGAGATGGAAGCGGACTGACCAGCACAGAGCAGAGTGAGGGCGTGGCAGAGGGCGGGCAGGCAAAGCAGCAGCATGAAGAGCAGCGGGCGCGGCCAGCTGAGCAGATGCCCGACCTCCCACGGCATTTGTGCCTCGCCCTCCCCGCCTGCTGTTCCCGACCCCCACCCCAATCCTCCCAGTGATTCCCCTCCCCTTCCCCCTCCTCCTCCTCCCACTGCTGCTGCTTCCCATCCTGCTGGGAGCTTCCGCATTCCCAATCCTGCTGCGGCTGATGATAATGATGCGGAGGCGGCTTTGGCGGCGCGCGAGGAGAGGAAGAGGAGGAGGTAGAGCAGGGCGTTGAGGAGGAGGGTGCAGGCGAGTAGCAGGGCGGACCAGAAGAGCGTTCCACATGCGATGTTGATGCTGGAAGGGAGGAGGGGAGGGGGGTTGGAGGAGAAAGGCCAGTGGAGTGTGACATTAGAAGGTGCGTGTGCATGTTTCACGTATAAGTGTGTGAAGGAGTGCCGGTGGGTGCCTTAGGAACACGTACGCCCCAGCTGACACATATGAGGCAGCTGACACATATGAGGCAGCTGACACATATGAGGCAGCTGACACATATGAGGCAGCTGACACATATGAGGCAGCTGACACATACGAGGCAGCTGACACATATGAGGCAGCTGACACATATGAGGCACATCAAGTTTTGCAAGGAAGTGTACATATGTGCATATGTGCGTATGTGTGTGTATGTGTGCGGGTACACATGTGTGTGTGTGTGTGTGTGTTGTGTGTGTGGGTGTGTGTGTGTGTGTGTGTGTGCACATATGTGTGTGCGAGCATGTGTATGTGCACATAAGTATGCGTGCATGTGTAGGCATGTGCATGTGCCACAGAGTGGGCAGGGTGCCACTCACGCGACCTGAGAGGCGGAGGGGTATTGCATGCGCGCCAGTGCCTCCTGCTGCAGCTGCTCCTCCGACTTTTGGCAAGGGAGAGGTGAAGATTGGACAGAGCGGACAGTGGAGTCAGGATAGGGGAGACAGGGCAGGGCAGGGCAGGCCAGGGCAGGCGAACCAGAGATGAGCACAACATGAAAGACTGAACTGGAAAAAGGTGAATGCGGATGTTGAGGGAGGGAATAGTGACTGAAGGTGAACCAAGACAGCCAGAGAGAGAGGAACCTGAGAGCACCCCCATGCACCTATGAGCACCTCAACGCACCTGGGAGCACCGCAACGAACCTGGGAGCACCTCAATGCACCTGGGAGCACCTCAACGCACCTGGGAGCGCCAGGTGGTTCCTGCGGATTCATTGTTGCCCATCACTGCTGGTGCCTCTGTGGGGGTCTCCTCGTCTGTAGTGCCCGTAGCAGCAGTGGGAGGAGCAGCAACTGTAGCAGTGGTAGAAGCAGTAGGAGCAGCAGCAGCTGTAGCGGCTGTAGCAGCTGCAGTGGCTGTAGCAGCTGTAGCGGCTGTAGCAGCTGTAGCAGTGGTCGCGGCAATAGGAGCATCTGCAGCAGCGACTGCAGAAGCAGTAGCAGCAGTGCCAACAGCAGGGCTATAACTGCTGCTGGCAGCATTCAAGCTAGCACTAGCGTTAGGGTTAGAGGGGTTAGATGGGTTAGGGGGGTTAGTGGGGTCAGTGGGGTTAGTGGGGTTCGGACGAATAGGGGGTTGAGCAGAGAAGACAAGGAGGCGGCGCATGGGCCAGGGCAGCCTCTCCCGCTTCATGGCCCTTGAAGATTCACGCCTGGTGTTGCCTGTGTGGCTGGGGGGGACGGCTGTGCTGCCTGTGCCAACTGTGTCGCCTTGACTAGCCTCCTGACTCGCCGTGCGCCTCAGGATGGCCTGTTCTTCGATGGGGTGCATGGCTGCATCACCACCGTGGTTGGTGTGCTGCACCCCACCTGCCCTGCTATCCTCCTCCTCCGCCCCTCGACTCCCCGTAGGCCCTCCATTCCCAACACCCCCTCTTATCCCTCCCCACACCCACCTCTGCACGACCGTCCACAGTGCTGCTTTCTCCCCCCTCCCACCACGCAACACTCCTCCAATCCTCTCCCCCCATGCCCCCACTCTCTCTCTCAACCACCTTCCCCTCCCCCTCGCCGTCCCCCTCCTCGTCCATCTCACACTCGACAGCGCCTGCACTCCCCTCTCATCTCTCTCCACTCCACCCTTCCTGCTGCCCCACCCTCTCCCTTCCTCCCATTCACCACCCTTTCTTTCACCCTCTTCACTCTCCACACTCTCCCCATCACTTGACTCACTCCCCCGTTCGCTCTCCTCCTCATTCTCGTCCTCGCTCCCCTCCACAAAATCCTCTCCTCTCTCCCTTCTCTCCTCCTCAATCTTCTCCTCACTCCTCTCTACACTCTCCTCAATCCCCTCGTCCCTCCTCTCCCCATTCCTCTTCCATCTCTCCTCCTCACTCACCTCCTCACTCTCCTCATTCCCCTCCTCTCTCACCTCCTCACTCTTCTCATTCCCCTCCTCTCTCGCCTCCTCGCTCTCCTCATTCCCATCCTCACTCTCCTCAAGCGTCACGCTCCCACCTCCCCCCCTTGTTACAGTGCCTCTCATCTCCCTCAGGTGTCTCTCCACAGCATCAGACCCGCTATCCTCCACACCGCCCTCCGCATCCCCCATCACCGCTTCTGCTGCAGCAGCAACCGGACCAAACCCCTTTGGCCCTGTCGACCGCCCTGCTGCGACTGTGGTAGCCTTGGGTCCTGTGGCTCCTGTCGCTGCCGCTCCTGTGGCTGTAGCCTTGGCTGTTCCTCCACTGATTCCTGCTGTCGCTGCTGCTCTGGTCATGGCAGCTGCCCTTGCTGCAGCAGCTGCAGTGGCTGTGGCAGCCGCCTTCCCTGCTACAGCTGGAGGCACCACAGCAGGCGCACTGCTTGCTGCTGCTGCTGCTGCTGCTGCTGCTGCTGCTGCTGTTCCTGCTGCTGTTCCTGCTGCTGTTGCTGCTGGTGTTCCTCCCGTGCCTCCCACCACCCCACCTCGTGCTGCCACTGCACCCACTGGCACTCCTGCAGGAGCGGTGACGGCAGGTGGCGGAGTGGGAGCAGGGGGGGTCCGTGTGGGCGTCGGTTGGGGAGGAAGGGGCGGACGTGTTGCCGCCTGCTCCCGCCCCTCCTCCTCCCCCCTTGCCCACCTCCCCCCCGTCCTCCCCCTCCTCCCCATACACAGGTGAATCATGCGCCCAGGGCAGGGGGGCGTGGGGCAGCACCCACCAGAGCTGCTGCGCAGTTTCCAGGAAGGTGAGGGGCAGGTCGACCCGCAGCCAGGCAGCAAAGGCAAACACCTGCAGCGATGAGAACATGTGCTGTACGAGGGAGGGGGAAGGGGGGGTGGGGGAGAGGGGAAGAGTTGAAGAGGGGGTGGGCAGGGGAGGTAAGGGGGAGGGAGGAGATTTGAACGACCGAGGAAGGAAAGTGAGGTGGAGCAGGTGAGAGCAGGTGAGAGCAGGTGAGAGCAGGTGAGAGCAGGTGAGAGCAGGTGAGAGCAGGTGTGTAGACCAAGGTATGGGTCGTGGGGCGTGAAACCCTGCACCTAGCACAGCAGACGACTGGGCTCAGCATTATATTCGGGCGAGGGAGGGGGGATGCAGACCCAGTTGTCACCACACCTCAATTTGTGCACTCCCAAGGGCAAGGGGGATGCACTGAGCAAGGAGAGGGGAAGTGCACTCAGCACGGGAGTATGTTCCTGGATGGGGGACGGAGGTTGCACTCGGCAAGGGGGAAAGGGGGGATGTACCACACTTACCAGCAGGTTCCTGGACGGGGAGAGGGGCAGGCGGCCGTGCATGGGGGGGAGGAGGCCGCGAGTGGTGAGGGCAGAGGAGGAGAGCGAGTAGAGGGCGGAGAGGGCTGCTGCTGTCACTGTGGTCACGCTGATGGTGGTGCCGATGATGCTGGCCGTGGCTGAGGGTGCGTCTAGGGGTTTGGGGGGGGGGGAGGAGGGTGAAAAGAGGTGGGGAGGCATGGGGAGTGGTATAAATAAAGAGGTAAGAAGGGGAAGAACGAGGTGGGGAGAGGTACGGCAGAATGGGGAGGGGAGAACGACGGCCGTGGCGACAAGATGGTAAGTGTGGAGGAGGGACGGTCTGGGAGGGGGAGGCGGGTGAGGGAGGAGGAAGTAGAGGAAGGGAGAAAGACAAGAGAAAACGAGGGAAAAGGGCGCATGGAAAGAGAGGGGGGACCGTGTCCCAATCCTAAGCATGCTCCTAAGATGGATGGAACAAATGCATAGGGCCAATTTTTTAGGCGCCTCAAACATAGATGGACGGAAGGAACAATACATAGGGCCAAAACGGAGAAGGCGAAGAAGGAGACAGAAGAAGAGAAGATGGAGAAGAAGAGAACGGTGGAGGGGCTTACAGGTGACGTGGATGGTATTGGAGGCGAGGGAAGTGGTGCCCCAGGGGGTGGTGGCGGCGCCGGGAAGCAGGGAGACGGAGAGGGCGGCAGGGGGCGGTGCTGACTGGGGCAGGGTGATGCGAGCTAGGAAGGCTGCTGGGGAGACCCACTCCACCCTGTTGGGATTGCATTGTTGGGATTGCATTGTTGGGATTGCATTGTTGGGATTGCATTGTTGGGATTGCATTGTTGGGATTGCATTGTTGGGATTGCATTGTTGGGATTGCATTGTTGGGGGGAGAGGAAGCGGTGCAAGGCAAGGGATGTTGGGAGTGCGAGCCGATGTGGGGAAAGGGTGGAGAGGATTTGCTCACTGAGTGCATTGAGATCCGCTGCACTGATGCGCATGCGCTCTCTCTCACCACACATCGCACACCACAAGCACAATCAGATTCTATGGCGAACCACTGCACACCTCTGCTCACCACTCCACACCACCACACCCCAACTCACCACTCCACGCGGGCACCGTCAGTTCCATTCACCACGATAGTGCCCTGTCGAATGCTCGACACCGGCGCCGACGCATTGATCAGAAACGTCAACTCCCTCTGCGCCACCTCATACCACGCTGCTGGCACTGCTGCTGCTGTTGCTGCCCCTGTTCGTCCCAATGCTGCTGATTTCGACCCATTAGTGGGCGATGCTGTGGGCAGCGATGACGACAGCGAGGGTGGCGAGGGCAGCGAGGAGGAGTCAGCAGGAGGGCTGCTGCCCAGCACAGTGCTGCCTGGAGGCCACAGGATGGGTCCCGAGCCCAGCCCACTGCGGTAGGTGTCTTGGTGCTGCAGGAGTGACAGGTGCATGCTGGCTGGCTGGGTGCCTGTGAGGTTACCGAGGGGAGGGATGGAGTGAGAAGGAGGGCAGCGAGGAGGAGTCAGCAGGGGCGGTGCTGTCTGGCACGGTGCTGCCTGGGGGCCACAGGATGGGTCCCGAGCCCACCCCACACTGCGGTAGGTGTCGTGGTGCTGCAGGAGTGACAGGTGCATGCTGGCAGGGTGGGTGCCTGTGAGGTTACCGGGTAGGGGATGGAATCCTTGTGAGCGATTTTTAAGACTTCCAAAAAATCGCTCACGTGGAAAGGGTTGAGGGGGTTAAAAGGAGGTAGGGGGTGAGGGAGTAGATGACGGGGTGCTGCAGGAGCCACAGGTGCATGCGGGCTGGCTGGGTGGGTGCCTGGCCTGGCAGGTGTCTGGGTCGGGGGGAATGGAGGGGTGGGTTGGGAAGAGGCGTGGGGGCTTAGAAGGAGTCAAGGAAAATAGGAAGTGGGTGTGCTGGTCATGCAGTAGAGACAGGTGCATGCTGGCTGGGTGGGTGCCTGGTTTGTTATCAGTAGGGATGGGGTGGTTTGGGAGAGGGGATGAGGTGGATTGGAGAGGGATGGGGTGGGATGGGAAGGGATGGGGTGGGTTGGGGAGGAAATGAGGCGAAGAAAGGAGAAGGGCTGAAGGGAGGAGGTGAGGTGCAGGGAGGGTTAAGTAAGGAAGGCAAGGTGAGCGATGATGGCAGAACGCACCGAAGATGATGGCGGCGGTGTTGGACTGCTGGTTGAGGTTGCCGTGCACACTCACGAGCGTGTTGGGCTTCACTGTCACTGTGATGATGCCCGGATTCACGAATGGCACCACCTGGCGGTCAGGGAGCATGGCACGGAGGAATGGCAAGAGGCAGAGGGATGGCAGGAGGGAAAATGGATGGCATTTCATCAACATCACGGACCAACCAAGGGCCATCCTTCTCACTCACAACAGCTTCACTGGCATCAGCACTCATGCGGAACTTGAAGAGCTGCCCAGACAGCCTGGCGAGCACCATGGCCCAGGACCCAGAGAGCACCTGGGTAAGTAACCCCCTAGACCCAGCACTGCCATCCCAATCCTGAGCAAGTGCCATCTCCCAGCGTTCCCAGTATCCCCACATCCCAACCAACGCCCTGGCAGCAGCACTCACCCGGAACTTGAACAGCCGGCCTGAAAGTCGGGCGAGCACCACGGGGTAGCCGCCGGTGACGTTGAGAGAGTTGAGCAGCCGCTGCTTCAGTGACGATGCAGAGCTCGTCGCATCCGTGCCATCTTCTGCTTCGTCGCCTGCTGCACCGCCTGTGCTGCCCGCCTTCCCAGAGCTCACTGCCGCTCTTGACACCCCTCCAACGCCGCCAACCACTCCCACTCGTCCTGCTCCTCCTGCTCCTGCTACCCCTGCTGCGGCAGGCCCTGTTCTTCCCCCCACTCCTCCCGCACCTCCTCCCGCACCTCCTCCTGCCGTCTGCTCGAAATTCAACGGAGCATCCGATTCCGCATCGGACTCCTCATCACTCTCCTCACCCCCAGCAGCAGTCTCAGATATATTGGCCACAGTGGGGGTGAGCGGGGCCACGGAAGGGATGCGGGTGGAGAGGACGAGGTAGAATACGAGGTCGAGGGGGCGGTGGGAGGAGAAGAGCTGGTGGCAGGACGGCACAGGGACCAGGACTGAGGTGTTTGCCAGTGCTTCCACTGACCCCACCACCACTGCACGCGCACTGCTGCTGCTGGCGCTGATGCTGCTTCTGGCGCCGCTCCTGCCTGGAACGTTCCCCAATCCACTGCCACTCACGCTAGTGCTGCTGCCCATAGGAAGGCCGGCTATACCACTGCTGCTGACTGCACTCAGCCTGATGCTGCCCGTGCTGATCCCACTTGTGAGACCCATGGCACTTGCGCCACTGCTGCTGCCACTGCCGCTGCTGCCGTCGCTGCTGTTCGCCAAATCAACCACCACAGGCGAGCAGCCTCTGCTGTCGGCTAAACCACCCCCACCGCTGCTGCTGCCGCGGCTGCTACCGCTGCTGCTACCACTGCTATTGCCAGTGGCAATACTGGCAGCGGCGCCATGCACCCAGGAAGCGAGCTGGTCTCCATAGGTGTCGGTGAGACTTGAGAGGCTGACTGGCTGCATGGCAGCTGCCAGCAGCGCCACTGTGAAGTTGCTCAGATCTGGAGAGGAGGGTGGTGGGACGAGAGGAGGGGGGCGAGAGGAGGGGGAAGTGGGAGCGAGGCGTGGGGCGTGGGGAGGGGGGCGAGAGGAGCAGGGGAGGGGGGTGTGGGAGTGATGAAGTGTGCTTTCATGGGGAGGGGTGACAAGGTGACGTGCAGAGAGAGGCATGGCGGCCAGCAG